AAATGTCAACCATGTATAGATTTTAAAATTTAGGATGTCATTATTCATTCTGTTTTACAACTTTCCTTTCACTTTTTTATTCTCTCCAGGGATCAAAAATGTTTTTTATAAAGAACCATATACAGGAGTCCTCTCTTGTCTTTAGGGTATAAGTTCTAAAACTCCCAGTGGATGCCTCAAACTGAGGATAGTAGCAAATCCTATATATATTTCTTCATATATATATTGGGCTTTTGTAACCTTATGTCAGAAACTGTAAGCTTATAAATCACAAATTCTACTTCTCATAGTTCTGGAGTCTGTGAAGCCCAAGATCAGGTGTGAAAAGATTTGATATGTGGTGGAGGGCATGTGTGGAGGGCATGTGTGCATATACACACACACATACCTGTGATAAAGTTCAATTTATAAATTGGGCACAGTAAGAGATTAACAATCGTAACTAGAACAATTATAATAATATACTGTAATAAAGGTTATGTAAATTTGGTCTGTCTCTTTAAAGAGTCAGATAAGTCAGTTTATGGTATATGGGTGAAATCACAGAAAGTCATGTGACTCTACTTTGTGTACAACCAGAGACATGAAAAATTGTGCTCTGTATGTGTAATATGAATTTAATTGCTTTCTGCTACATATATTACAAAGTAGAATACATTAAAAAAAAGAAAACAGTACATAGAGGGAGGCTACTGCAATTCTACTAATAAGCATTCTTTAGGTCCTGCATTGTGTTTTTTCTAATACTAAAATTACCCCCACTTTGTTTTAAAAAGACATTGAATGATGTGACATCTTATTGTTGGAATATTTTTGAGTAGTCCTCAAAAGGATGACAGCACCCCATTCTACCTCTGCCCCAATATTGGACGATATCTGGTGACATTTTTGGATGTCACAACACAAGGCAGGGTGCTACTACTGGATAGAAACTACAGAAGCTGCTAAACATTTTGTAATATGCTGGATAGTCCCCAGTAGCAAAGAATTACTTTGTACAGTATGTCAACAGTGCTGAGCTAGAAACCCTACTCAACTTGGATGAAACGTATATGGGCCATCATTCCATGGGCCTTGCTGTTAGTGTTTTTATGGACTATACCATCCTTTTAAATGGCTTCTTAAAGAACAAAAAGTAAATTACCAAGCTCTTAATTGACAGTGAACATAATTCTTAATATTTAATATTCCATTAATCACAAATAGTCACTTCCAGTGCTGGAAACTAGCACAATATAGTAGATTCTCAATAAATCTTCAGTGGGAAGATGGAGAGGTGCACAGCTTTCCTGATGTACTTTCAGAACTTGTGTTTTTCAAGTTGGATAAGATGCCTGATCATCACCCTAATCCCAATTCCAGGTGTGTTCTCCAAGCTTTTGTGGAAGTCCGTCCCCACTCTACGTACCCTCATACCCTTGTGTACTTATTAACAAGAGGTTGAAGCACCTTTTCTAAGGAAATAATGGCAATAGTTGGAGTACACTGACACTTCTATATGTCATTGTGTAGGAGCTAACTTTAAGTTTTTTCCCCCACAGTAACTCGCTTTACTTCACAAGGGAGAAAATGCTGGGGTAGTAAATGACAGTTAAGATTCAGACATGTCATGTTTCATAGCAAATCTGTGCTCTTAACTACTACAAAACTTTTTTTTCCTCACTGTGGTAGGCATTGTGCTGTACCACCAAGCCATACCTAGCCCTCTTCTTTGTTATCCTTATTTTGTTAGTGGGTTTGGGGATCAAACCCAGGACTTCATGCACACTAGGAATTAACCCCCACCCCCCATTCCCCTAGCCTTTTAAAAACTTGTTTCCCAGACTGACCTCCAAATTGGGTTTTCCTGCCTCAGCCTTCAGAGTAGCTGGCATTACAAGGCATGCACTCCCATAACCAATAAAACTTTTTTGTTAATATAATTTTGTTCTCAAGAGCCAGAATGCCTAGGTTTGAATTCTGGATCTTCAGTATTATTATAGGAGAGTTATTTAACACGTCCCCATTTCTGAAGTATGCATAGTGTGTCACCCTTGAGGTTGTTGGCTTCTGTTAGTACAGAAGTTTTAATTCTTGATGATTATAATTAATATCTTTATAGAAAGAATTTGTGACTGCCTCGAATATTATATGGGTCTTGCCCTTAAAGACTTTGTAGTCTATTTGGGAAGACAAGAAAAGTAAACATGAAAACTGATAAACATATAATCAGGTAATTGTTAAATGATTAATAGATAGTATAAATGCAAATAGATATAGTTTGGGAAATTCATTTGCACTTAAAGACTTTTCTTTTTAACTAAATAACAATTTCTTTTAAGTTTTATTGCCAGCAACTTTTGTGCCAATTTAATCAGGTTATTGGCTTTCTCCAGACTGTGCTTTTTTTTTTTTTTTTTAAAATACACACTGAACTCTCTGGTTTACTGTCTCCAAACCCTTATCATTGTCATCCTGTCTAATACCCAGCAGGCTCACTGGAGTGTTAGTGGGAGTTGGCACCATTGTTTTTGGATTCCAACATTAGCTGCTCCTTTAATATTGATCGTCAGTGGTTTACCTGTCCATTGTCAGCTTCCTTTTCCATTCCCTAGTGGGTGTTTCCAAATATTTATGCCTCTTTTCTTACCCATTAGATATCATAATATCCTTTCATTTTACAAGTAAAATACTTGTAGCCAGCAACACACCTTATTTCCTTTCCTAGTTGGCATCACTTAGGTTCTTGTTACTAATACCTCACCTTTTGATTGCTCCCCTCTCTTGAAGTTGGGCCCTTCTACAGCATCAGATACCAGTCTCAGTTCTATCTCCTACCAGTTCTGTCTCCTCTGTCTCCCTTTTATTTTATTTTATTTTTTTGAGAAGCTAGGGATTGAATTTAGGGCCTTCCTTGCACATGTTAGGCAAATGTTCTATGCTGAGCTGACTTTTCCCCTACTACATCCTATTATCTTCTTAGTGTGACAGCCTTTTTTACATGTTTGTCTCATCTCTGTCTTCTAGTCCTTTCTCTAGTATTAACTAACAGGAAATTAATTACGTATCTAAAAATCTGCAGGATCTCTCATTGCCTTTACTTGATTAAAAATCCAAATTCCACAGCATGTTTTTTTATAGTAGATTCAGATAAAATTGAGTTATGATCTTGTCCCAATTCACAAAGGGGTAAATTGTTTAATGTTTTATGTTTTTCTCTAGTTTTCTTACAATTTTATTACCTTCTACAATTTTTGTCATCATTTGATAAGAAATGATTTGAATGATATTTATACTTGGTATTTAAGTTTATAAACGTCCAGTTTTGAGGGCCTTTCATAATTTGACTATCCATTTCATAAGCTTTATTCACTGCTATAGCTTAAATCATAATCATCCTGAATTTATTTCAGTTCCTATTACTTAGTCATTGCAAAACTTTGGGAAAGACAGTCCAGGTAGTATTAACAACACATTTTGGTAAATTATGAGAATTACATGAAATACTGCTAAGTTCTTAGTTAAGGGACTGCACATAATAAATACTCAAGAAACATTTGCTACTGCATTTCCTTGTTGTGGTTGTATTATTCCTCAGCTGGAATCCCACTGGACCCAGTGTGCAAGGTTGTTTGTGCCTGGACTACACTACTCCAAGTCCGGGAATGGAATGCCTTCTTTTCTTCTCCTCCCACTTCCTGTGTCTACTTTTCCTTTAGAGTTCTGCTAAATTTTACCTGACACATAGTTTTCTATCATGCACCGTCTCCTTTACATGCGCATCTGTTTATTGTGGCGCATTTTATACATAACTGTTTTAATCATTATATTCCATTACCATTTTGACCTTGAGTTCCCTTTTAGTGTACAGAATAATTCTTAATTTATTTATGTTCTGGTATTATTTGCTGTGCCTTATAACTAACAAGTTGTTTGTTTTCAGTCAGTAAATTTAAATGCTATCATAGGATATATCATTTGATCCAAACAGCCATGCTATGTTAGGTAGATGGTGTTAGATCTCCAGTTTTCAAAGAGGAAACAGGCTGGGTGAGATTAAATGAATTTTTCCCAGGCCACTTCTTGTGTAAGTGCTATAAAACTAGAATTCCTCACATTTAATAACTCATTATGTAGATGTTCTCTTGTGTTTTACATTTGTCCTCCTTTACAATCTAAATAGAATAGCATTTAAATTTGGTGAAAGTATTTCTTGGTGATATCTTTGAAATAATCTTGGCTTTTGTTTGGTGATGTGTAAAACACTTCAAGAATTGGGATTTGTTGATTCATAATTGGTATGATTTAATCTCTGTAGAGCTTACTTCTTTATAATATTTGGTAAGATAATTGGGTGAGTAAATGTATTTAAGACATTGAACTTTTAATAGAACATTTGCTTAATAAATGTGTAGTCAGAATAGCTTGTACTTGAAGGACTTAATATTGTAGTTTTTCAGAATTAATCCAGTTTTTCATTTGAATTAGGCTTCATTAAATTTTATACATTTAGCAATATCCTTCTCATAATTATATATTTGCATGCAAATGATAAGCTTTTCTTAGTCCTTACATGGGATTGTCTTTTTAGGGTCATATAATAATAAATGTGAATGACTTAATGTTTTATATGGCTTTTATATTCAATGAAAACCATTGATTTTAACAGTTGGAGGAGGAAAGGTGGGGATGGAGCAAGATTATAAATTATTTAAATCCACTTTACCAGTGTAAATGTTTTAGTTATTCTAGAAGTTGTAACTGACGTTTGTTCCACATGATAAATACCAAAGAATGGAGAAGTTTGTTCTTTTAAAAAACAAAGTTTAGAGTTGAATAGGAATAATATGTACTGTTCTTCAAGTTTCATTCACAGATTTTTCTATATTGTTTCTGTCTTTAAGTTTGCTTGTTTAAAAAGTATCACAAGCAACCCTCTTGTTACAAAGCAAAGTAAAAAAAGAATATTTTATCAAAATTTAATAAAAATGTAATAGTAGTAACTTGTAATTTGATTTTAGGGAAGCCATGCGAAATTATTTGAAAGAGAGAGGAGATCAAACAGTACTTATTCTTCATGCAAAAGTTGCACAGAAGTCATATGGAAATGAAAAAAGGTAAGATTTACCTTTTTTCCTCCCTGGTAGGTAGTTAATTATAGTTATCATAAATTTATAAATGATGATTAATATTCATGTCTGAGGATGGTTTCTATTATTGGGTTTTTTGCTTAGTACCAAGAGAGGGGAAAAGGATTTATCTCTTGAAGGGGAAAACCAAAGCAACATGGCATACTGAAGCCAGGAGAATTTAATGAAGATCATCTGGCTAACTCTCTGATTTTACAAAATGAAGTAATCCACAAGTTTTCTTTTTGACTGTTTCCTAAGTGTTTCAATGATATATTAGCTGATTCACAAAGAAGCTTTCTTTTTGGTGGAAAAAAATGTAGTTTATTTATGAACAAATGTAACTCCCAAAGTACCATTTTAAACGAAGAAGGCTAAACCAACTCCTGATCCTAAAACTGGCTGAGCTTAGTTTGTTGAGCAATGGAGGCATTGTAAAGAGCTCCAGGCCCTCTCCCGTGGTTGTTCTAGTTGTTGTTGAGTAACTGCCCTTGCATGCCATGGAGGTGTTATGCCTGTAGTCTCAGCTGTTCAGGATGTTGAAGCAGGAGGATCACTTGTGCAAAAGAGTTTAGAGGTAGCCTGGGCAAAATAGCAAAACTCCTGTCTCAAAAAAAAAAAAAAAAAAAAAAATGGGGAGGGGGGTTGGGATATTGTCAGTGATGGACAACTTGCCTAACAAGCCCAAGGCCCTGGGTTCCATCTCCAGTACTGTAAAATCAAAAAGAAACTTCAGAAATTATCTATAAAGTTGATTAGCCAAAACTAAATTAAAGCAAAGTTATCTTTAACAGAATTTTCACAATATTATGAATTTCAATATTTTTGTGTTTAATTTTGGACTTTAAGATTTTGTCCCATCCTCTAAGCAAGTGCTCTACCCAGGAGCTATATCCTCATGTCCAAAATAATCATTATTTATGATGCAGTTGTTTTGCGGGGTAAGAGGTATGGGGGAGGGAATCCAGGGCCCTCAGACTTGTAAGCATGTGCCCCAGCACCAAGCTATACCCATTTTAGTTTTTTCACTTGATTCCTAAGTTTTTTTTTCAATAGTCTCTTGAATCTTAAAGATTTTTTTGGATTTGCTTCCAAGGCACCAAAGTGAGATGGGAGAAAGAATGAAGATGCAGATTTGGGACTTGGGTTAAAAGGAATGAGTGAGTCTGGCACAGTGGCACACACCTGTAATCCCTGCAGCTCAGGAGGCTGAGGCAGAGGATCACTAATTCAAAGCCAGCCTCAGCAATTTAGTGAGGCCCTAAGCAACTCAGCACGGCCCTGTCTCTAAATAAAATATTAAAAAGGGCTGGGATGTAGCTCAATGGTTAAGAACCCCTGGATTCAATCCTTGGTACACCACCCCACCCCACTCCACCCCACTCCACATATATTACCTTGCAATAGAGGGGGAAAAACCCACTAAATTTACCTGGTGTTTTAAAAGTGTACTAGTAAAGAACTATTAATGCTAGGTAACTGGCAAATCTGTTGAGGCTTCTTTTGAGGATTAGGTCTGACTGGTCCTTAACTCACTGCTTGCTCTCTTGCTCATCCAGGTTCAGGTTCGTTTTTGGTGTTTATTTTTGTATTTTGTTTTGTTTTGGTACTGGGGATTGAACCCAGGGGCACTTTGTAGTATAATTGAGTTACATGGCCAGCTCTTCCCCTCACCCCCTTTTGAAACAGGGTCTTACAAATAAGTTGCTTAAGGCCTTGGTAAATTGCTGAGGCTGGCCTTGAACTTTTGTAATCCTCTTGCCTTGGCGCCTAGCCCATTCAGGTTCAGGTCTTTTTGAGGAGTTGCTGAGGCATAGGCATGAGCACAGTCTGTTTGGTCATGGCTCTTTGGCATGTAAAATAACTCCAGTGAGTGATACTACAAATATTTGGACAGGAATTTTTATTTGAAATTTTAAAATTGGGGAGGAAGGAGGAAAGAGTAAAAGGTGGAGAACATGAACTGAAATCCAATTCTGTGTATGTACGGATTTATCACAATGAACCCAACTACTATTCATAACTATAATGCTCTAATAAAATGTTCTTAAAAATTATTCTTGATATTAGCTTTTATGCCTAATAACTAATACGTATTGACATAGCACATCCATTATCCTGTTTGTGTTAGTAGTTGGTTTTAATTTTTCAGTAAAGAATGTCTTACCAAGTCAAAAATAAAACTTTTTAAAACATTGTTTTGCTGGGCATAGTGGTGTGTGCTGTAATCCCAGCAGTTCCAGAGGCTGAAGCAGGAGGATTGCAGGTTCAAGGCCAGCCTCAGCAATTTAGGGAGGCAATAAGCAACTTCATGAGACCCTATCTCAAAATTTAAAAAATTCTTTTAAGGGCTGGTGGTATGGCTCAGTTGTTAAGTGCCTTTGGGTTCAATCCCTGGTACCAAAAAAACAAAACAAAACATTGTTTTCTCAAGAGGAAATATTAATATGCCATTTGACATATTAACGTTCAACTTTATTCTGAGGTAATTAGCAATAGTGAGGCTGTTGAGACAATTAAGAATAAAGCTTTCTAGACAGACTGTGATTCTGAAATAATAATAGGAAATGCATTGATTGGAGTAACTGATATGTAAAAAGGTTCTGAATGTGGCCCTTGGAACTGAATAACCATCAAAGTTTAATGATTCAGCAAAGGTAGTCAAAAGATATAAATGACAGGAGTTTGGATTTTTGTCTGCCCAAACTTCTTGTACACATTGGACTGAATTTAAAAACCACCTTTGATTCTGTGAGGTGTTTCCCAGATCTCTTCTTGAGATTTGAGGAAAAACTTGTTGAATCATTCTCTGATTATTTGAATTATGAAATTAAAATATAAAATGTGTATATCGCCACCAAGTGGCAGAGAAAAACATTGTTATAGTTGTTTAGAATTATTAGGAAAGATGAGAAGAGAAAGGCAACATTGTTTCATTGAATCTTTTATAGCAGCTATTAAACTCAAGCTAACTCCTTACTGGTTAAACTCCTCACTGAGTGTTTAGTTCATATTGACCAATTGTCCATTTTTTAAAAAAATAATTAATTTCACACATTATCATAGAGATTTATTTAATTTTTTCTCCTGTCAATTATATGGCCTTTTGGTTTCATCCCTATTCCCTTTAATTTATTTGTCTGTATTCCTTTTTTGGTGTATGTGTGTACACCTCCCGCGCTCCCCACACACACACTCTATTTTTTTGTACTGAAGATTGAAGCCAGAGGAGGCACTTTAACACTAGCTATATTCCCAACCTTTTTTATATTTTTTGAGACAGGGTCTCACCAAGTAGCTTATTAGGGCTTCAATAAGTTGATGAGGCTGACCTCAAACTAGCAATCATTCTGCCTCAGCTTTCCTAGTCTCTGAAATTATAGGTGTGTGCCACCGTGCCCAGTTATGTTTTTAAATTGACTGCTGTATTACTATTGAAGTTTATGGAAGTGAAAATTTGATTCATTCACTAATTTTTGTTGTTGTTGTTGTTTGTTTGTTTTTGTTTTTTAGGGGAAGTGGCAATATTGGGATACTTAGGAAATGATTTTTACCAGCTCACAATAGAAATCTTCTCAATGTTAAGATTATATTCAATTTGCTGTTTTCTTATCACAGCTTTTCTGAAAAGGGATTGATATATAAACAAGGGCATCTCATAGTCCATTAAAGAGTTTTCATTTTTTTCTTAGATTTATTAGATGATTGGAAAGCCGGGTATTGAGCATTGATCCCAGGGGTGCTTAACCACTAAGCCACATCCCCAAGCCCTTTTTATTTTCATTTTGAGATAGGGGCTCACTAAGTTGCTTAGGCCCTTGCTCAGTTGCTGGGACTGGCCTTGAACATGCAATCCTCCTACCTCAGCCCGCCCACCCCACCCCTAAGTCACTGGGATCATAATCCTGCATCACTGTGCCTAGCAGGAGGTTTTTTTGTCGTTGTTGTTTGTTTTATCTATTTGCCTAATTCATATCTTGTTATTTTCATGCATTTTGACACAGCACTCCTGAGAAAAATAAGACTACTCCTTCTTTTATTGTTTTAGCCCTCTCTGTTTTTCAGATATGAAATAAAAATACGTTTTGAGATGACTCTTTGAGATTTGACTGCTACATTTGCTATACTATCTTAAAGTTCAGCTCTTCAAGTTTTATAGCTGGTGTGCCAATTTACTAAGGAGTCTTAATATTAGTGTTTAATAAAATACTTGAAAGTTTCCAAAATTGATGCCTTGTCAGCCTCCTCAGAGCATACTAGCCTAAGTATCTGGATTTGTGCCATGGTAAGCATTGGGTGACTCACAGCATTAGAAGCCAGAACAATCCCTGATGTGGACTTAATCTGAACCTACTCCAAAACTAGCTCAGTTAATCTAGGCATTCCTCCAAACTTAGAGTGACCTGAAACTGGACACACTACCAAAGCTGTGACCTTTATATTCATGCCTTCAGTGTGTATAGAGAAAGGTACTCTTCTTTTGGTTTAGATAAATATGAGAAGCCTACAGAGGCTTCCCTCCTTACTCCATTTGATTTCTAGAGCCCACTTGGTCTATCATTACCCCTGGCTTCATCTCCTATTGATCCCCCTTTTCTCCATCCAGCTGCTTTTCTGTTTCCCCACTGTCAATCCTTGTTCCTACTTCAGAGCCTTTTGCACTTGCTCCCCATTCAGTGGAAATGCACTGTTCTCAAACATCCCCATGATTTTAGATTGTGATGTAAGGTCAAGTCCTTAAATGTGATTCACATTTCACGTATTTCCAGTACTCTATCCCTGCTTCCCCCGCCCCGATACTTATAACCAACTAACAGAGTATACATGTTATTTTAATCCTTTTTATTGTGTCTCTCTTATTAGAGTATACTTTCCACGAGGACAGGAATTTTATCTGATTATTTTGCTTGTTTGATTTTTACCACTAATTTCCCAGTGTCTGGTATACATTGAAGATGTTATAAATAATTTGAAGAAATAATGAATATTAAATAAACTGAGCTTACTTTTTATAAATTACTTCTGAAGTAGTTTTGATAGTGTTGAAAAAAGTGGCCATCCTGAATTTTGAGTCAGTTCTTTGGATATTGTAGTAGATTCTCAGGGGGAAGCAAACCAGAAGTTATACTTCTTACCTGTAGGACGTCCAAAGTCACATCCAGCCTGCTAGTGTCTGTGCACACAGCATTTGTATGCATGAATACAGGTGCGTAACAGTTTTTACGTTTAAGTCTGCCCACTTTTGGTCCATGGAGTGTAAATAAGTGTAAATTGCTTGCCAAATTTTAAAATAGGAATTTCATACAAAATTTGATTTCAGATGTCTATCAAACAGAAGGTGTGACAAATACCAGGCCCACATATCCTTAATTCATCAATGCATGAGTTTATATTCACACAGTTGGCCACTCGCTATTGTTTTCTTACAATTAGAGCCACACACCAGTAGCTGAGTATCATTGCATTTTAAGCTCTTATTTTCTTACAGTAGAATTAACAGAGTTAAGAAACATTTCTCCTATACTCATAACTATCCAAAAAGTAGGAATTACTGTGAGGACTGTTTTTGTTTGTTTGTTTTTTAGAAAGAAGAAGAAACCTATTTATTTGGATAATTAAAGGATAGTTTCTACTGGTTTATTGTACACTTGGTTCATTCAGTTATATTACCTGGCCCCTTCTGAGTTTTCAGGCCTGTGGGAAAAACATGTCATAAATGTTTTAATGTATGTACGTGTCAGCAAGTATAATTGAGCAAAAGTGAACTGCACCTACATAAGGACTGGATTCATAGCCTGAGCTATATAAAATATGGGGTTTGAACTAGGCTTTGAAGCAGTTTTTTTTTTAATTGACAGAGAGATTATAAGGAAGGTCTTCTAGGTAGGAAGAATTTGTGAGGGTGGTTTTGGGCTACTAGAGAAGCAAACCTGCTACTAGTCTCTGAGTTGGAAGAAAGGAGTATATTATTCCTTTTGTATGTACTATTTCTTAGTTATTTACAGTGCACAAGATGTTCCAGGTGTAAGATACATAGAACACAAACAACACTGCTTTCACAGAGCTCTCATGCAGTGATCCATTTTGCTTTCAATCTTTAATTACTTAGTTTTATTAATATTTTAAATATTTATACTTGAAGCGTTGTTCTAAATGCTATTTCCCAGGTGAATTAGCAAATAAAGTTAAATGTAATATATATAGAAATAATAGTATTAATTATCTTTGTGGGGGGATGTACTGCGGATTGAACTCAGGGTCACTCAACCCCTTAGCCACATCCCCAGCCCTTTTTTGTATTTTATTTAGAGACAGGGTCTCACTGAGTTGCTTAGTGCCTCAGCCTCCTGAGCCATTGGGATTACAGACATGCGCCACTGCGTCTGGCTAATTCTGTTAGTTTGAGTAGACCTCAATTAGTAATCACAGATTCTATGATGGGATGTCAGGTTTTGTGTATTTATTTGATTTGTTGAAATCAAGTAGTTTAAACTTTGAGCTATATGAAAAGTTTTCTGCTCTAAGAAGTATATAGAATAACCAAATGCATGACTTCAGTATTTTAACCTGAACAGATATGGAAGTTTTTATTTCTATCCTATGGACATGATTATTTGCATAACAAAAGGCTTCACTGAAATTTTTCATTAGGGGATTCACTCAGCACCATTTCAATGTGGTTTTCCTTTCATTTGTTCAGGAAAAGGAAATGTCTTGAATCTAATTACTTTGTGTTTTGAGGGTTTTTTTCCCCCCTCCCCAATTATTCTTTAGGTTTTTTTGTCCTCCTCCTTGTGTATATCTTATGGGCAGTGGATGGAAGAAAAAAAAAGAACAAATGGAACGCGATGGTTGTTCTGAGCAAGAGTCTCAACCATGTGCATTTATTGGAATAGGCAATAGTGACCAAGAAATGCAGCAGCTGAACTTGGAAGGAAAGGTAAGTCAAGGCAGTTGGTTCCCTGTAAAAGTGGCACCAGTATGTAGTTTCCATATTCGTTTTTGTGCAAGTGATTTTTTTAATGGCTGTTAGTGACAAATTTATTGTATATATAAATCAGAACCAGAAATATTCCTCTCACATATCTGTAGTCTCAGCTGTTGACATCTAAAGGTGATAGGCAGAAAATTTCTGCAACTAGCTAGCAGTTTTAGGATGCTGCAAGTCAGATATCCTTTGGAGTTGATGAATTTAGGAAGCTAATTATTTATCTTCTGTCAGGAATGTTTGTTATCAATGAAAATGCATCATCAGTAATGTTTTACTCTCTTAATCTTTTTTAAATACTACTTCTTAGCAGTGATACAGGCAAATTCTTGGTGGGGGAACTTTTATCTGGATCATAAAGATTATACTTTACCTAACAGCAATGCAGAGCAGAGCTGTGCTATAGACAAGAAGACAAGCGTTAGCACTAGTCAAACTTTTAGAGGTTTTTCTTCAAACAAGGTTTCAAGGGAAATAAATTTATCCACTAGGTTTACTAATTGTATTTTGTGTTTTTAGAAAGTAGGAACTACTTAGTGCCTAAGTACTGATAAATAATTATTTAGTCATTTAGAATTTATTATTATTTTCCCTTAATATTAAAATTCAGAAAATGGTTTTGATCTCAATGATTATGTGAATGTTTTTCAGTGCATAGAGGCCATTTCCTTGTTTAGTACATCTTTTTTGAACATCTTGGTTTTGCTGTGTTATATTTGGCACTAGGGATTGAGGCTGGAGGATGATATGGAAGATATAAGCTAGGGAATTTGTATTCTCAAATTTAGTTTTAGTCATTTTACAGAAAGTGAGTACTAAAGCAAGCCACTTTCAAATCTACTTTGTTTGTTTCATTGTAGTTATTATTGATCAGGTTTCTTCATAACATTATTATGGATTTTCAGTTAGTTTGGGAACATCAGAGCTTCTGCTTACCAGTGTGTATAATTTTTTAAATTCAGCTTCATTACTCATTTTATCCAATTCCAGCTTCAGTAATTTTATCTTTCATGGAGGTAATACCAAACAAACCAGCCAATAGCATCACTGACTACCTTTCCCAGCATCATGGTATAGTACCACCATGTTTAAATCCTATACCCTTAAGTACTGCATCAGTGTGAAGATCTTCTTAATATCCTCTATTATATCTTTTCAAATCTTCTGTCATTACACCTTTTCCCAAGACCTGCACATTAGCAGAAAAGAACATCTGGGAGCTGAGCATTTAACTAGCTTTTAAAACACTTGCTATTAGAGTAGTACAGTGTCTGTATGCCAAATATATTTAATTCATGTTAAGTTTAATTTTAATGGAAAATGCTATTAGAGAAGTATGTATAAAGTAGTACTAGGTTACAGTCAGTAGAAAGTACTCCAGGCAGAAAGAGCAACATAATCATGGGCTTGGAGCAGAAGGGTGTAAGAATATGGTTTATCCCAGGTAGACAAAGACTTACTGAGTAGAGGAGATTTGTTACAGCGTAGTTCTTAGTTTTAAAAAATCACATATTCCATATTCTTGATAGCATTATTTTGTTTCTATAATCCAATTATTTTGCTTTTTTTTTCTTGCATTAGATCTGCTATTTTTCATTTCAGGGCAGTGTTTTATTTATTAGCGATCTTGTCTTCAAAGAGTCGGTTTTAAGTTAAACAATGTTTATTATTTCTGGAAAGATTACTATATGCCATTTCTGCTCTGGAATCCCACTAGCTAATATAATTTAACCTTTTAGTATGTCAGAGCACTTGTAATTTAGTTTTTGTTTGCTTATTTTCTTGGAGTCTTAATATTTTTTGCGAGTCAGTGACTTTCTCCTTTTTTCTCATGGAATGTGAATAGTATGTGGTCAGTGGCCTTTGATTTTTTTTTTTTAATTATTTGTTTATAAAGTTATCTCAGGTATGATTTTTGCTGACTCATTTACTGTAATTAAGACTATATATTTTTTTCTTTCCAAGGAGATACATATGTGTGCTTTTTCCTTAAATGTTTCCCAATCTATTTATACTAGATTTCATTATTTTTCTCTTTCCTGATACAGATCATATCCATTAAGGTTAACACTAAAAATTAAATGATCTTAACCTTTTTAAGCTTTCCCATTGGAATACAATTCCCTTTATCTAGATAAACATTTTCATTTTTATGCTTCTTGTTACCATTTGCTTTAGTGCATTGGTACCCATTTTAATAAACCTCATCTTGTGTTGCAGAATTTCATTGTTTGGGCTTAATTTGACCTTTAGTGCGGTCATTTTTAAAAGTGTGGTGAACCCATGGACATAGTAGCTACATGTGTCATCTTCTGAGAGTCTAGCGTGAAAAGAGCTAGGTGACTGAAAAGTACTGTTTTTATTCTTTGTTTACTGTTATTAGTGTTGTTGTATTTTGCCTCCTGCAGAGCAGTTTCCCAAAAATTTTACCCAACTTTTGAATGTATAAAAACTTGAGTACGGAGTATTCAAAGTGGCATTTAAATTTTCTTTTGTAGCTTTCACTATTGAGAAATAGAAATTACTGCAGTATTGTTAAGTATTATTAATGCTGCCTATTAGTAAAACTGCAGACAAAAAAAGCCTGGAACTCATAGGCTATTTCCTAAATGAGTGGCGTTTGCCCTGCTTTTTTCAAAGGAACACACAACAGAGGTAGTTGAGGCACTTTTTAATCATAATCTTGGGTTTTTAAAAATATATATATTTTAGAGTATCATTTTACCCTATCAGGAAAAGTATGTCAGTAATTTATGTACCTCCTCAGGGCTCAAGGGAATAGGAAAGGTGTTAGAGCTTTTAAATATAATTGAAGTAGCAGTATTTTGAAGTATCCTTGCTGTTTTTGAAAGTGCTGAAAACTTTGTTTTCAGCTTCCTGTATATTGTTCAGTTTCCATATCACTGTGGGAAGTTCATCTCCAGCTCCAGAAGCTTCATGTGGGTACCTGACTTGAACTGGTTCCACTTTCATGGTTGGGATCCGAATTCTTGGTATTTGAGCTAAACATGGCTTGTCCTTGTTGAGTGCTGGTTTAGGAAGAGTCACACCTCTTGCTAGAGCTCGTTATATGCCGCCACGGTTTTTGTATTTTATTGACTTCATAAGGAAGATTTTGTATTTTCTGTTCAGAGATCAATTTTGATAATTTTTACAGTTGACCTGTGGGCTGCCCATTGGAATGATTTCATTTAAATCTGATCAAACCTAGTCATGGCCTCTGTTTTAGATACATAACCAGTAAGATTTTGATGCTATTAATACTTTACTTTTCTTTCACAGAACTATTGCACAGCAAAAACATTGTATATATCTGATTCAGATAAGAGAAAACACTTCATGCTGTCTGTAAAGATGTTCTACGGCAACAGTGATGACATTGGCGTGTTTCTGAGCAAACGGATAAAAGTCATCTCCAAACCTTCCAAAAAGAAGCAATCATTGAAGAATGCTGACTGTATGTACACTTGAGTTTTCTTCTTTTTCCTGAACTTTCACCAGGAATTGATAGGACACACTTTTTTTATCCGCCAGGAATTGAGAAGACACTGCTTTTTCAGTAGCCAATTTATTCTTTTTTTTGTGGGGCGGGGCGGGGCGGGGGGTGCTTTACCACTTAACCACATCCCTAGCAGCCATTTTTTTTTTTTTTTTTTTTTTTTTTGGAGAAAGGGCCTCCTTAAATTGCTGAGGCAGGCTTTGAACTTGTAGTCCTCCTGCCTCAGCCTCCCAAGCCACTGGAATTACAGGTTTGTACCACTGTGCCTGGCCAATTCATTCCTTACTAGTACTTTTGGGCCTGCCTGTCATATTGGGGTGTTTTGTTGTTGTTGTTGTTGTACCCGGTACCCGGTAGTGCCTGGTCTGATGAAGTAGTTCTGAACCAGAGATGGTTCCTTATTGCTCCCTAGACGTATTAAAGAAAATGGGACATTTTTTTTCTTTTCATTCTTAGTTACTAGGAAAGAGGTGATGTTTGCATGTGATGTCTTGGGCCAGTGACGCTAAATGTCCTGTAGTGTCCAAGATAGTTCTCATTCCATAAAGAACTGATAAATTAACTGGTTATGATAAAGACCCAGAATGTCAAAAATACCTCTTTAAAAAAACATTAAATGAACTTTCGAATGCCATCCTGAGAACCTAATCAAAATTTTAACATCTCTAGCAGAGATTGCTGTCTCATCAGCAAATTCCTAGACTACCAAAGATACATACTATGTATTTGAATTGTACATGTCAGTACCCATGCACAATTTTTTAAAATTTAACTTCATTTGGAAATTTTCAAATTTATATAAAAGGAAGGAAAAAGTATAATTTAATAATTCACCCAACCTCAGTAATTTTACCAATTTTATTTCATCTTCTTCATCACCACCGAAACTTCTTCTTTTTCCAGCTGCTAGAATGTTTTCATGTAAGTTTCAGACATATTGTCCTTTCAACCAAATTTTCTGCAGTAAGGACTCTTAACACATAATTTTGTTTTAAAACGTCATTACACCTTACAAAGTTGACTGTAGTACTTTCAAGCCATTTAATATCCATTCTCTGTACAGATTTATCAGTGTCTTCTCAGTGTCTTTTTTTCAGTTGTTTTTTTGTTTTGCTGTTTCATTTTACACTTGGTTTGTTCAAACCTAGATCCAAACAAAGTTCAACAAATTTTAATCTGTGATGGTTTCTTATCTTACCCTCATTTTTTCTTTCTGTGACATTTATTTGTTGAATAAACTGGGTCATTTTTCCTGTGGAATTTCCATATTCTGAATTTCGCTGATTATATTCTGTTTCTCATGTTATAAACTGGTAGTTAAACTTTTCAAATTAGTTGATGCCAGGCATGGTGGTGCACACCTATAATCTCAACAACTTGGGAAGCTAAGACAGAAGAATTTCAAGTTTGAGGCCAACCTCATCAACTTACCAAGGCCCTTAGCAACTTAGCGAGACCCTGTCTCAAAATAAAAAAATTAAAAGGGCTAGGGATGTGGCTCAATGGTAAAGCGCCCCTGGGTTCAATACCCAGGACAATAAATAAATAAATAAAGTCTGGTACCATGAGTAAATAATAAATAGGCAAGCAAGCTGGTCATTTTCATCCAATCAGAAAGCAAATAATATCTGGTTATCCCTTTTTTGTCAGGTTAGATTGATTATAGTAAGTTTAGTTGTTATAGTAAGTTCATTTGTAATCGAATGGCTATCATAGCCATTATTTCATCAAGGGCTTCAAATGGTGATTTTTTTTTTCCCAATTGTTTATTCCTAACCTGCATTTGTTAGTTCAAGTTTTTTCTACATAGAACTTTGCCATATCAAATATTTGCTTCAGAATGTAGTCAATAGAATAAAAGGCAGGATAAATGCTTGTTTACTAATTTGTACAGTAGTATTCTTAGAAACAGTGAGGTTTCAGTGGTTTGGTTTTGTTTGCCTGAATTTCATTTTGTTTTATTATGCACTTATGGGCTTTTATGGTGGATATATTTTATTCTACCCAGCTCTTATTAGTATCATCATTTACTTAATATTGTGGAAAATTTCAGGCACACTAATGTAGGCAGGGTTGCATAATAGGATAAAACCCCTGTGTTCTCCTCTAACTTCAATAGTAATCTTACTTCAGACCAAATCTCACTTTATTTTCAGCTGTATCCCAACCCTAGACCCACTTTCCTCTCTTCTAATTTTAGTTTGATGCAAATCCCAGACATTATGTCATCTGTAAATATCCCTGTGTGGCTGTAAAAGATGATGTTCTCCTGTAATTACAGTATCATGATTACATAAAAACAATATATAAGAGAACTATAAGAAAAAATACTTTTTTAAAGTGTCATCATATACAGTCTGTGTTCAAAGTTAAAATAGTCTCCAAAATGTCAGTTTTTCAATTTATTTGAATCAAAATTGAAATTTTCTGGATATTAAAATATATATTGTGTGGAGATGTTCTTGTGTATTCTTTAACATACACCCTGCCTTGCAGTATATTTGTTCAAAGATTTTAACCATTAATGATTTCCACATCCCGGATTTTGCTAATTTCATCCCTTTGGTATAGTTTAATGTGTTTTTGTGAATTGGTGCCCAAAACAGCTGGATAGTAGTTAAAGTGAAAGACAGGTTTTATTCAGTACTATTGCTATAGGGGGAAAAAGACCTAAGTATAGAACTGAATTCAATTTTGAAATACAACAGTCAAGTAGGGATGTACAGCCATGGAATAAAGTGAGGTGGTCAATGGGTAGAAAAATACAAAAAGCAGAGACATCAAAGGTAAGGGAATCTTTGCTAAACTGCCTTAGCAGGAGTCCTGCTAAAGGCAAGCAAAAGTGATCACATATCAAGAGTTGGGGCATGATTTAGAATTTGCTACAACTGGCTAAGCAAACCATGTATGTTAGTCAGCTTTGTGTCACTGTGACTAAAATACTCCACAAGACCAACTTTTGAGTAGAAGTTTTGGGATCATGGTTTCAGAAATTCAGTCCATTGTCAACCAACTCCATTGCTTTGGGCTCAAGATATGGCAGAATACCATGACTGAAGGGCAGCAGGAAAGCTGCTTACCTCAGGACAGTTGGGAAACAAAGAGGAGGAAAAGAGCCAAGGGGACAGGATATCATCTCCAAAGGCTGTTCCCAGTCACCTACCTCTTTCAACCAACACCCCACTTGCCTAGAGTTACCATTCAGAATAGCAGTCCTTTCAGATTATTAATCCATCAAGTGAATTAATTCACTGATTAAATTATGGTTCTTATAATCTAATCATTTTACTTGCATTGGCACAAGGGCTTTGGGGACGCTGAAACACAGCAGACTCTGTAAAGTTTGTTCAGAAGAGAAATTTTACATGTGGTTAATCTTAGAATCTTGATAAGATTTAAGTTTGTTATTTTGTTGTTGCTGAAGGGCAAGACTACTTCACTGATGGTCATGTGTCTCTTGTATCAGGAGGCATATAATGTCTGGTATTCAGGCTATTTTCAGTTCAAATTACATAGTTGTATTTAACATCTTTAATTTTTGTATTTATATTGAATATTAATTTCTTGAAGGCAGAGAACATATTTCACTTTCAGAATGTTTTCCTAAGTTACATGGAAGGTAACTTTCCTAACTTGTTTTGCACATCTGAAGTAAGTAAAAATTTACTTATGGTAGGTTTCATGCAGTACAACATTTAAGGTATTTTAGAAGACAGCAGTGTTTTCTAAAATCACAACACACAGAAGCAAATGCTTTTCTATGCATATGTTCTGTAGGGTAGAACACAGGCCTTTTTTCTTTCAATGATATTTTTTTCATCAGTGAATTTAGGTACACATGGTTTAAATATGTAAATGGTATTAGAATCTATTTAGTATTTTAAAATGATTTTTCCTGTAATTTTTCATTAAACATACCGTGCAGGTCTCATTTTAAAATGACTTCTATGAACATATTTTATATCATTTAGCTTAACATTATTTTTTTTGTTTTTTTTTTTTTAAAGAGAGAGAGAGAGAGAGAGAGAATTTTAATATTTATTTTTTAGTTATCGGCGGACACAACATCTTTGTTTGTATGTGGTGCTGAGGATCGAACCCGGGCCACACACATGCCAGGCGAGCGCGCTACCGCTTGAGCCACATCCCCAGCCCAGCTTAACATTATTAATAGGGGTTAACTTGACCTTTTTCAGCGTTATCTGTACTTTGTCAGATTAAAATATTTGTCATCAGAATCTGCATTCTGATTCAGATTATACTTTATATTTTTATAATATAATTTTATATATTTATTAATTTATAATAAATAGTCATAACTTGCCAAGCAGAAGTCCCTTCTTATTCTCTCACTCCCACCACCCAGTCACATAAACAGCAGTTGTTTTTTCCTTTGCAGTATGCATTGCCTCAGGAACAAAGGTGGCTTTGTTTAATCGACTTCGATCCCAGACAGTTAGTACCAGATACTTGCATGTAGAAGGAGGTAATTTCCATGCCAGTTCACAGCAGTGGGGAGCATTTTACATTCATCTCTGTGAGTATTAAAATGTGCATTGTTAAATTCTTTTGATAATGAGTTATATGGGTATATTAATTTTTGTCATTTTCCCAAGCAGATAATAAATTCTAAAAGATGATAATTTGATCTTTTTTTCTATCCTCTGTAGTGGATGATGATGAATCAGAAGGAGAAGAATTCACAGTCAGAGATGGTTACATCCATTATGGACAAACAGTCAAACTTGTATGTTCAGTTACTGGCATGGCACTCCCAAGATTGGTAAGGCCTTACTTCTGCTTTAGTGATGTGTGAAGTAAAAATTAATTCTTAAAACAGGAAAGTTCTAACATTCATATATAAAAATATACCTCAATTTTATGCTTTTCAATTTTAAAAGGTAATGTCAGTTATCCCTATTTCTTATAGTTCCTAATCATTTCTTTTTCTTTTTCTTTTCTTTTTTTGGTACCAGGGATTGAACTCAGGGGCACTCAACCACTGAACCACGTCCCCAGCCCTAGTTTGTATTTTATTTAGAGACAGGGTCTCACTGAGTAGGCACCTTGCTTTTGTGAGGCTGGCTTTGAACTCATGATCCTCCTGCCTCAGCCTCCCAAGCTGTTGGGATTACAGGTGTATGCCACCTTGCCCAGCACCCTACCTTATTTCTGAAATGGTTTAAAGACTAGCCTATTACTACAAGTGTTTTGTTTTGTTTTTTGTTTTGATACTGGGGACTGAACCCAGAAGTACTTTACTACTGAGCTTCATCCCCAGCCCTTTTTTATTTTTTCACTTTGAAACAGGGTCTTGTTAAATTGCTTAGGGCCTCATTAAGTTGCTGTGTGTAATCTCAGACTTAAGATTTCTCCTGCCTCGATTTCTGAGGTCAGTGGGAGTACAGGTATGCGCCACCATGCCCAGCTACAAGTGCATTCTTAATGACCTCCTGTTAGGCTCCTCCTAACAAAGTTTGTGGCAGTTTCCTTTTGGTTGTGTATCTGAACGTGTCGATAGAGGGCACTGTAAGTTACAGTATTTTTTTATTCCTTACTAATGCATATACACTGTTGCTCTTTTTTTTTTTTTTTTTTGTGGCACCTGTTTTATTCTGCTATGGGATCAAAGTTTTCAAAAGCATAGAAATTCTTATTCCTTTCAAAATATAAACTTATTTTCATTGGCTTACTGTCTAACAATATAGATTTGTTAAAAATAAATAAAATTTGGTATTTTTTTGGGGGGAAAGCATAAGAATTGGGGCTTTTTGTTTGCTAGAGCATCTTCAAACTATAAAATTATTTTTCTTAGTAAAATGAAACCAAAAGTCCCTTTCAACTCTCTTCCTTTTCTCAAAGAATATGATTCAGTTATACTAAGGTGACAGGGAATTTATAGGTAAGTTTGTACCAGATCAGATTGAGGGTGTTGGGCAAGTGGAAACATATTCAGTAATACTGTTCTTTATCGTGCTTTATATTTCATTGGCTTCTGTTTTCTGGGGCTTGATTTCAGCAGAAGCAGATGGGTCTGCAGATCTCTGAATAAATGCATCATTTATTTATCTATTTTTTGTTTTATTTTTCTATTTCATGGCTATACAAGAGGACTTATTTCCCATTCGATATAATAAGCTAAAATATTAGCTTAATACAGATTAATTGAATTATAATACAGTTAATCTATAAAGCATTGAAGTTGCAACAAATTATAACAAAAATTGTAAAGGTAGGGAAGAACAGGTGTAAAAAATGAAAAGAAAGAAGCAAACAAAAAAAAGTCAACAATTGTTCAGCTCTTTTCTTCCAGTTTATTGGGTGTTACCCTATTCCAGAGATGACGTTCATTTGCTTATACTAGAGGAGCTCAAGTTTAGAGGCTTATACCTCTGATCTGTAACAGCTTACATGTGGACCATCTAGAAGACAGACCCAAATCTTAAGTGTTTTCACTTAAAGTTTCATGCAAAGTAGAAGCAGTCTTCCTTGCTTGAAAATCATCATTAATTGAATTTTTATATTCAAAGTTATAATAAAAAATTAAGGGATTTATTAGAAAAAAGTTGCAGCACCATCATTAACATACTGATACATGCCCTTCTAGAAATTCTATAATTGAGAAATTCTGACTGCTTTCCTCAGAATCATAGGTAGGGGTTAGTTAGTACACTACTTCCTATACCTCTTGATATGCAGTTTGATCTCTACTGATGTGCAGTTTTCAACAGGTACAAACATTCTTTAGCTCTTATATGCTCTTAAAAAAATTATCCTCAGCAGATGTGGGGTTGCATGCCTGTAATCCCAGTGATTCAGAACATCAAAGCAGGACTATCACAAGTTAGAGGCCAGCCTCAGCAAATTAGTGAGACCCTGTCTCGACAAATAAAACAAATAAAAAGAACAGGGGATGTAGCTCACTGGTATAGCTTCCCTGGGGATTCAAACCCCAGTACCTCCCCCAAAAGAGAAGAAAGTTGTTAATCCTACCTTATTATCTGAAAGGTTTTTTTAAATATTTATTTATAAAGGTACTGGACACAGTACCTTTGTTTTATTTATTTATTTTTATATGGTGCTGAGGATTGAACCCTTGCACATGCAAGGCGAGTGCTCTGCCTTTGAGCCACAACCCCAGCCCTGAAAGTTGTTCTTGATACTTCCTAAAATGTTAGCCTCATTGGAGAGCTTTGCTTGGAAACACTGTTCTTCCCTGACCAAATTTTGGTGGAATAAGTGTCCTAGTGAAAATCCTGGTGTTTTAGAGTGCTCTCAAAACAGATTGTGTATCCAGGTCAAGTCAACTAACTAGAAACTAACTATTAACCCCTTAATTGTACAAACTCATCAGTATGTCAGATACTCCAGGGGTAGGAGCATCTAAGATTTGTTCTATTCCTTAGGTGTTGATGTGTTGAAGTCACACTAGTAGTCTTTGCTCTTTGTGCCGTTTAGAATACACATCACTCCATTTGGATGAGCAGCCCAATAACATAGAACCAGCCAGTGTTTACTGGGCAGGTACAGTGTTAGGAAAATGAATAAAATAAGCCTCTGTTCTGAGGGCTGTATTCTCTTAGTCTCTGAAATATAGTGATTGCACCAACAAAATGTACAAAACCAGCTTGCTTAGAGGAAAAGGCCTGTTACTCAAGCAGCCCCCGATGTATAATGAATGTACAATTCACCACACACATATCTGAGTTGTAATAAGTATTGTACTCCCTTGTTTTCTCAAAATTTCTTTCTCTTAATAGTTAAAAACATTATCAGGGTAAAATTTTAATGCCATTTTGGCTTCTTTATTGGTGAGAACAAAGTCATTCATCAGTGTCTAGGTCTGAAGTACTGTTGAGGGAAATGAAAACATACCAAGTGTGGTCAGTGTGGGTACTATTACTAGCCAGTATTGAAATAACAGGCACACAGATTCCAGTTGTAGAGTTAACTGGTTAAGATGTTAAGTAATTCCAAGACTTCTGGGAAGCTTGAGATTTACATCATTTTTAAAATCAGTTATTTCTCTAAAATCCAGACCTCATTAAATTTAAATGTAGCCCTTGAACATTGAATTAAAACATTGCTTGAGTTAATTAGTCTCCGACTATCTTAGAAGCTATAATCACTGAAAATGTAGTCTCTCTTTTAACTTAAAAATTACTTTTGGTAGGATGACAAATATTTTGACTAAAAATAATGCAGAGCTAAAAATGTGTAAACACGAGGAACCCTAACTAAAGATTAGAGCTGTCTACAGTTGTGGCTTAGCTGAAGTAGGATGATCTCTGAATGTCAGTGAGGCATGAATGAAGTAGTGAAATCAGTAACATTGCACAACATTAGTAGCAGCTCTGTGAGCACCACATTGATTAGTTCAGTCCTCACAGTTGTTGGGGGTAGTTGCTATAAGGACACAGAGCATTATATGGTAGATGCATATGTGCATGCATTTTCCACACAGTCCTGAGCACCTTCTGAAGTGTGCCTGGCACTGCTGGAAATAACAGCAGCAAACAGAACAATTCCTCTCCTTGTGGAGCTTACATTCTGGTAGGAAGCTAGACAGAAAATATCTTTAAAGATTTATGTAGTGATAAAAAGGCCAATTAAAATGAGATAAAGAGGAGAAGTGACTTTAGCTATTAACCTCAGAGCTAGGGGACCGACCTGGAGCCAGAAGTGGAGGCGCTGCTGGCAAAGGCGGAGCAGGAAGAGGCAGAGAAGCTGCAATGCACCATAGTGCACAAGGATATCTGGAGCTGGAATTTGACCTGGGTAACCTGCTGGCTTTCATCTGGAACACACACACACACACACACACACCCAGTGCTGCAGCAGGTGGGACCCACGCCAGAAGCCAAGCTGCGGGCCTTGGCACAGGACAATACGCAACTGCTCATCAACCAGCTGTGGCAGCTGCCCACAGAGCATGTGGAAGAGGTGCTGGTGGCCTGGCTACTGGAGCCTACCATGTGCCTGCTGCGTGAGAAGCCGAACGCTGGCAGCAGTTCACGCACCTTAAGGGCATCCATCCTGAGAAGAAAAACTATCTGGTGTGGGACTAGGTGAGCGGCTAGTGGCAGCAGCCGCGCTGGGGCTACAAGCGCGCCCGGGATGACACCAAGGAATGGCTGATCGAGGTTCCCAGTGGCGCCAACCCCCTAGAAGACCAGTTCGCCAAGCGGATTCAGGCCAAGAAGGAATGCGTGGCCAAGAACAAGCTGAACTGGCTGCATAATCTGGCCGGTGCGCACAAGATGCAGCTGCCCAGCGCAGCTGGTATGCACTCCACCAGACACCAGAGTAAGGAGGAGCTGGGCCGCGCTATGCAGGTGGCCAAGATCTCCACCATCTCTGTGGGGCGCTTGCCTCCCCAAGGAGTTGGCTTCCCGGGGTTCAGGCAAGAAGAGGAAGTTTCAGCCCCTTTTTGGGGACTTCAGAGCCGAGAGAAAGAACCAGTTGGAGCTACTTCGAGTCATGAGTAGCAAAAAGCCTCAACTGGATGTAATGAGAGCCAGCAGCAAGCAGATGAGAGAAGAGGACCAGGAGGAGGCTGCCAAAAGGAGAAAAATGAGCCAGAAGGGCAAGAGGAAAAGGAACCCGCAAGGTCTTGGAGGCAAGAGTAAAGGCTCCTGCCCAGCCAGAAAGGGAAGAGGAAAGGAAGTTTGGGAGGCAAGATGCATGCCGGGCCACCTGGCGTGGATGGCAAGATAAAAGGAGGACAGCACCAAGGAGGAAAGAGGAAGAAGTAACGCTTCATTCACCCTTGGACCTGTTCTGTAAAGAAAGAATTGTATGCTAAATGTTAAGTTTTTGGTACTGTTGCAGGGCAGGACCACTGTCTTCCTTGAGTTTGAGGTTGAAAGGACAAAATTGTCCTCCCCTCAAGAAAGTATGTAAGTGTTCTACTGTACAGATTAAAGCCTTTCCCACAAATGAGACTTTAGCTAGTGATGAAGGGTATATTTGAGGACACAAGGATTAGAAAAATAATTTGGCCATTTTACCTTTGGGTTATGGGGTGAAGGAGAGTTGGTGACATTTCAGAGACTTATGGTAGATTAATGTATATATTTCAGTATTTTTTATTTTTGTAATAAGTTTTATGCTTATCAGATCTAGGAGGGGAGAGGAAAGATGACATTTTCCTAAGTCGATTTAAAGAAACTGTGAGGCTGGGGCTGTAGCTCAGTGGTAGAGCGCTCACCTAGCACACATGAGGCACTGGGTTCAATCCCCAGGACCACATAAAAATAAGAAGAAAAAATAAATAAAACTGTTGTGAAGGTAATTTTTTAAAAAGTGAGATAAAGAGGTGGAGGATTGGACAGAGCTTAGAGAGTTCATGGAAGTCTTTCTAAAGTGACAGTGTTTGATGAGAGACCAGAATGGAGTCAAGGAACTGGTGAGGAGCACTTTAGCCTGACAGATTGAGTCCAGCAGAAATTAAGACAGGAATGTGTGAGGACCAGTGTAGCCAGAGCAAAGAGAGGCAGGTGCAAGGGCAGGAAATGAAGCTGCAAAGTTAGCTTGGGAAGATCTTTAGGGTCTCTGTCTAAGGTAAAGGACAATATCTTACTTTCTTATGATAGAAGGCCACTGGAGGGTTTTTAAACAGGATGATGGCCTATCTATGTCCAGAAGGATAGTTCTGATTACTGTGTGGAGAAAGCGATAAGGATGTGGCAGTAGAAGTCATTTATTGAATTGTTGAGTTGAGAAAGGATCAGTTTAGGAAAGTCAAAATCCTGCTTTTGCTATGTTAAACTTTAGTTGCATATATTGGACATCATAAGATAGAAATGTTGAATAGGTGATCTTGGACTTCTGGCCTCAAGAACTGTGAGAGAATATATTTCCTTTGTTTAAAAAACAGTATATTGATTAGGTAGTTAAATATAAAAGTTAATGCAGGAGAGAGAATAGGCCTAGAGATCTAGAGGTGAGAGAAGTCAAACTCTACATTGCATAGAGTATAGATTATTAAAGAAGAAGTCAGGACTCAGCACTGCACACCCTACAAGTTGGTGAGAGCCCTTTTGGCTCCTAGAGGAGAATGTCTCTGCCGTATGCCTCCAAGAAAGTGAAGTAAGACAATGAAGGAGAAATGCCATGAGGTCATCTGTCTGGAAATCCTCAGTGGCCTTCATGAGCAGTTGTAATGAAATCTTTGGGACAAGACCGGAGAGATTACAAGAGATGGGACAGTGGAGAAGAGGCCTTTGCTCTCAAGGGAAAAGAGAAACAACAGAGTTAGTAAGATGGAGGGACAGGGATATGCACTCCAGAGAGGGATTTTTTTTTTACTCTTTGATTTTAAGATGAGAAATAGTTTATAGCTGTTGGGATTGACCAATAAAAAGGAGAAAGGAAATTAAAAGCAGTTTTACTACCCTCATCTTCATTTATTTAATGATTTCCTTCTATGTATTAAGTGTCATTAAGGTCTGTTAGTATCAGCTAACCATATGTGTTTTGTGGACTATTTGGGTTATAAGATTATAGAGTACTGTAGGAAAAGATAAGATAGCCAACTCTGGGATCATGTTCTGGTCCTTTAGCTACCAATCTGAGAATTTTGAGCAGTTTACCTTACCTCTCTGAGCCCATTTTTTGCAAAAACTATTTTAGTTTACTTTCTATTAAGTATTTAAACAATTGGGTAATGGATATAAAATGTCTGCACTGACTAGCACACCCACAGTGGCCATCTAGGGATTTTCTCCTTCATCATTGTAATATTTGTATATTATTGGGAATATCATCAGAACTAGCTGGTCCACAGACCAGAAGCATTAACATCACCTGGGAATTTGTTAGAAATGTCAAGTATCAGGCCCCACATGAGCCATGCCTCATTAGAACCTGTATTTTTCACAAGAACATGGGATGATTTATATGTGTATTAATGTTTATCTAGAAAACAAGTGGTCTGCTCTGTTTTTTTTTTTTTTTAGATTTTCATGAAGACAGTAACAATTTCACATTCTGACACGCCTGCCATCTTAAAGGATTATTTTTTTATTCCTAGCCTTATGTTTTTCTGTGTAGATAAGGTCATTTAACTGTGATATATTATTTTATAGCATAAATGTTCTGTGTATTCTTGACACTCTACAAAATGATAACTCTTTTCATGTGTGGATGACCTTTTATTTTTTCATTGTTGAAATATAGATAATTAGGAAAGTTGATAAACAGACAGCATTACTGGATGCAGATGATCCTGTGTCACAACTCCATAAATGTGCATTTTACCTGAAGGATACAGAAAGAATGTACTTGTGCCTTTCTCAAGAAAGAATAATCCAGTTTCAGGTATGTCTTAAAATTACTGCTGAAATCTAAAATATGCAAGTAGGGCTGGGGGTGTAACTCAGTAATACCTAAGGGCGCTGGGTTAGATCCCCAGCACAATAAATAAATGAAATGTATAAATGGATTAGCAGTTTACAGAAACATGAAATTCTAATTTGTTTTTAATTGTATCCAAATACATGAAACTGTATTCAGATATTTATCTCAGATCCAAGGGTCCCTAGACATGCCTGTGATTCTACCTCAGGGAGAAACTTGAAACTGTAAAATGTTTCAGGGGCTTTAGGGGAACAGAGAGCCCCCTTGTAATATCTAGAAATAGATTTCCATGTGTTTAGAGAATGTTCTGAAATCATGTACACACATTGTAAAGGGAAAACATTTTTCTGAAAGAGGGTTCAAATTTTCATCAGATTTACATTGGGATCTCCCAAGATAGTAATGACGACATGATTCAAAAGCTAATTTTTAGCTGCATCACACTCAGGTTTCACAAGAACATTATGAGAAGGGCATGTGATTTAATAGTACGGTTACAGTTTCATGTAAACTCCTTTGTAAATTCCCATTCCAGAGAGATGGTCACACACACTAATGAGTGACCTGGGTCCCCTGTCTAGGTGTATATGGCAGGAGTAGGAGGTCGCCAGTCCTGATCTTGGTTTCTTCTGCTGAAAATGCATTAGCTTCTAGCTGTCCTCTAAACATAAGGGGCTCCCATGGTGTCTGTGTCTTAGAGGGCCCTTAAGAATTTTAAGCATCTATTTTGCATCTCAGAAACTGATCTTGTATTAATGAAATTGTACCAGTAATGTGTACTATTAAGGGATGTACTGAAACGTATTATTAGTTATTTAATATATCACTGAAATATTTTATAACAAAATGGCTGTTTAGTTTTCATATTAATATTCTGTTGAACATATAATATAAATATGAATATGAATATGTGAATATATTAAATATGCTGACAAAGCAATATACTTGAGTTCTCCTTGTTTAATGACACTCTGTAAAAACTATAAACACTCTGCAAATGTTGTTGGAAGTTTTTAATATGCCGTATTATATATAAAACTCAGTTTCTGAACATTCTTTCTCCATAAGGCCACTCCATGCCCGAAAGAACCAAATAAAGAAATGATAAATGATGGAGCTTCCTGGACAATCATTAGCACAGATAAGGCAGAGTATACATTTTATGAGGGAATGGGCCCTGTCCTTGCCCCAGTCACCCCTGTGCCTGTCGTAGAAAGTCTTCAGGTGAGACCACTTAGTCACAACGTAACTTAACTTTTTGCAGCTATTTTCAGCTATAGCTTGGCATCGTTTATTTCACAGTAATTCTGATTTTTTTTTTTTTAAATTTTGCAATCTGGGGATTTTGTTACACATTATTTGTTGCAATAAAAGTGAAAATAAGGTCAGGCATGGTGGCATATGCCTGAAATCCCAGCCACTTGAGAAACTGAGGCAGGAGAAACACGAAGTTTGAGGCTGGCCTCAGCAACCTAGCAAGAACCTGTTTCAAAAAATAAAAGGGGCTGGAGATGTAGCTTGATGGAAAAGTGCCCCTGGGTTCAATCCCCATTATCAAAAAAAAAAAAAAAGAGAAAGGAGGAAAAGAAAAATAGGAGCAACATGCATGCAAAGAAATTTAAATGAACTTATATGTTATCTTGAGATATTTTTAGCTAGCTTTATGATCAAGCCTTTTAAAATAAACATTTTATAGATGTTGAAAGATAAATGAGAACCTAATTTGTATACTTTAATTAAAAATGATTTTCTGTAAATTGCAGTTGAATGGCGGCGGGGACGTAGCAATGCTTGAACTCACAGGACAGAATTTCACTCCAAATTTACGAGTGTGGTTTGGGGATGTAGAAGCTGAAACTATGTACAGGTACATCATCAGAGGTTGTCAGGGGTGGGATACATGAGTTATTTTCTGACATTAAACAACGTTGTTTCATTTATAAAATGTTTTACTGCTATTAAAAGTGCTTTTAAGTGATTTATTTTTCCTTCTCAGATGTGGAGAGAGCATGCTCTGTGTTGTTCCAGACATTTCTGCATTCCGAGAAGGTTGGAGATGGGTCCGGCAGCCAGTTCAGGTTCCAGTAACTTTGGTTCGTAATGATGGAATCATTTATTCCACCAGCCTTACCTTTACCTACACACCGGAACCAGGGCCACGGCCACACTGCAGTGCAGCTGGAGCAATCCTTCGAGCCAATTCAAGCCAAGTGCCCCCGAACGAATCAAACACAAACAGCGAGGGGAGTTACACAAATGCCAGCACAAATTCAACCAGTGTCACATCATCTACAGCAACAGTGGTGTCCTAACTACCGTCTTTTTGCTAGGACTTAAACTGACTTGAGTGTGGCAAAAAGTTGACAAAAAAAGAAAAAAAAAAAAAGGAAAGAAAAAAATGAACAATCTTTTGTGGTTTCTTGGGAAAACTTCATACCAGGTGATACCATTAAAAACCCATTACCTGCAAGTGCTGAGTTGAAATGCAGAAGCCACAGTAAAACAGAAAAACATCAGTATGTACAGACTGTTGGAAATCAAGTTTTTCAGCTGTTTTTTGTTGTTCTTGTTGCTGTTGTTTGGTTGGTTGGTTTTGTTTGGTTTTGTTTAAATGGGCAAGAAATAGATAATGTGGCTGGAATAAACATTAAGCAAACTAGAAGGCACAAATCTAACATAGTTTTTATGGACCAAGGAACTTGTATAAGCTTTAGTAAAAGGTACATTTTCACCATACCTTTTTTTATATCACAGTATATAGTATACCTTGTTACCAAATAGGTTGTTTTCCCCACCCCCTTTGAGCTTTTGCTCTAAAGTACATTCAGGTTCCAAGCCTGACCACTTGTTTAATTAACACACTCTTCCAGGTTCTTTTGGTCTAAGGCTGGAACTTTTTTTTTTAAGCTGAAATCTTATGACTTTTCATGAGGTGGAAATGTTTTGATTTCAGCAAGTCAAATCTTGTAAAGGCCTGCATTTTTTTTTTTTTTTAAGATTATATGAAGTCTGTGCAAAAGCTTTAAAGAAAATGCCTCCGCCTTGCCTGCAATACATGCAATGTATGTTAACTTAGTCTCTATTCTCAGACACTGTTGGTAGTTATTTCTGTATTTTCCTTTTTTTAAAAAAAAAAAATGTATTTATAGTGGTAATCCAAGAGGTTCTAACATTTACATGGAATTCAGTGTGGCCATTTAGTCATTACTGAGTTAATGGCGCAGAACATGTTGGTATTTGAAGTGTTTTCTCCCCCTTTCCCGTACATCCACACATCTGTGTTCCAGGGTTTGTTCAGGTTACCCCCTCCTGATCTTGTACATAACTTGTATTATGTGTAAGTTAAACGTTTTATTTTGAACTCAGAATGTTCCCAGTGATTTAATTCAGCAGGGTATTTGCTACCTTGTTGGCAAATGACAAAAAAATATCATGAGAAGTATTTACTACCAAGTGGTAGATGGTGCCCTATGGTAGAATGAGGAAAATCTCAGCAAATGTTTTATTATTACCTTTTTTTTTTTTTTTTTTTTGGTAGCCTAGGCAAGAACATCATTGTAATCTTAAAACATAAGATGCTTTTATTAGATGATCAACTAAAATAGCTGGAAGACATACCTTAGAAACAGATAGGTGTAAGTTTATGAAAATGCAAATGTAACTTATGTTTTCCTTTTTTTCTGTCTGCCTTTTTCTGTTTTCTCTTACTCCATACCGAGTGTCTCCACAAATGTCTCTTACTCAGAAAACATTTCTTTTTCTTTCAGTTAAGATTTGCTTGCATTCAGGGCTGTGTCAGCCTTGCATGCTAACCTTGCCAGTTTATATTGCTTCCATTCCTGCATCTTGGTTTGCCTTTGTTCCATTTCTTTGGAATTACAGCAGACTCATCGGGTTACATTTAGTAGAGGAACCACATGTATAATGTCCTGGGACACCGTCTAGTTATACAATCATCCTTCTTAGAGTAAAAACTACCTCTAGATTGTGGTAAGCTTTTACTGTCCCGTAAAACAGGAGCCACAAGTACCTTATGAATGCAAAACTGTAACTTCCTACAGCATTTCCAGTGTCTTTCTGGTGTCCTGGGCTATTTTCAAAGTTTCCATTAATAGACTTTAAAAAAATCATTTCTTAGCATTTTCTTTCAGCTTTGCTTTCTTCATCACTCCTTTGCTTCAACTATGCCACTGTAAATAATATTTCCGACATCTTTAAATTGCCTTTTCCTCAATTTTCAAGGGGAAAGTCATTTGTAAAACATGTGAGGTGGTTAAATCAAAGTTACTGCGGTTTTCTCTTACTGCAAGCCTTCTTAATCACCCCAGGCTGCATGATTTTATATATAGCCTTTCTTCAGATCTGCTCAACTCACTCACTCACTCCTGAGCGAATCCTGCCTCACACTGTCTGTCTGTTTCAGTGATGAATGGCAGAACTCATTGTGGCCTTATCTTTCTTTGTTGTAACTGCTCACTAGCTTTTTCTTGCAGAGTTGCTTGTTTCTGGGTAGAGTTTATTCTCTCTGTCTAGTCACCGACGTGGTCATTATACAGTGCTTTTGTTCAGAGTGGGAAGTGTTTTCAGTGCTGCTTTACTTTTAGTGGGCCACAAGTTTCTTCCACTTTCTAAATTTGGTTTCTAGTTAAGAAATCAAACTAAATTAACCAATAACAAATGAGATGGTTTTTGAAGAACAAACTATCCCTTACCCAGCTTTGCAGCTCAAAATAATTTTCCAAGTTCATGGCTTTACTAAAATGAACTTATGCTTATTTTAATGTTTATCTCTTATTGCTGTTCTTTTGTGTCTTTTAATAAGATAATGAAAATATTAGACTGAAAACCCTTTCACTGTTTTTTTAAAGTCCAAGAATGTACTTATTATTGGCATTCCCCCCCCCCATTTTATGCCATTTCATACCACAGACTTAGGAATAAAACGATACATCTGTTATAGCTTGTTGTTCATCAGTATCTTTTGTCAGCTGCTTTTTAAAATCCTTCTCGTGGATTGGTGAATCATTTTCAGTACACAGTTTATGTCAGCCCTGTCCTCCAGTTACAGTACAATATGTCCCTTCCCTAATGGTGGCATTGTTAAGAGATGCTGGTCATTTACCCTCATAAAGACTCTCCTCTAGTGGTGGCTTCAGTTAGAGTGTAGTGTTTTGATGTTTTTGAATGTTTGGTTTAGAAATGAATCTTATGCTCCTGTTTTTCTATGCAGTTTCTCAAAATCTGCTTAGAAACTGAGTCTGTGACCCCGCACATTTTTATTAGTTGCATCAAATTTATCACATAGATTCGGAAGGCAAGCTAATGACTTTAAATGTAAAATGCCCTTTATATTTTTGAATGAATTCAGAACCAAACACTAGTACAATATTTAACTTGCTGCTGACTTTTCTGAAACCATGGCAACTAACTACACCTCACATAGAATTAATTAGTGAAATATTTGTCACTCTTACAACATAGACTTACTGGCCATCGTAACTGGTTAGGTTTTTTGCTCTTATTTTTAATGAAACCGGTACCATCTGTGTGCTCGCAGAAAATTCCCAGTGCCATTTTTGGGAACTAACCTAACTAGTCATGTAAGCCAGAAAATCCATTGGGGCGGGGGTACTTTTTGAAACAATGCTATTCAATTATTAACCAAGTTAACTTTGATTTCAAAAGCAGCTGTGTTTCTGATGAATACTGAACAAATGTGTGTAATTTTCTGTGCCAGACTTTTGACTTTGTTTTCAAGCACTGTAATATGGGATGGATGGTTAGAAACAATAATATATTAGGGTTTCTATTTAACCCTTTCAGGACTGAACTGTATTTCCTTTATTAATTTTTCCCTGTGTCGTGGTAAATGTTTGCCAGCATTCAATACTGTGTTGGTCCAGATGTAGGTTTATACGCTCATTTTTAGCTTATTTCTTGTACCTTGCAGCATGCTCTACACATTCAGTCCTTAAGGGGTTTATTTTACAAACTGTGCGCCTGTAAGGTTTATTAGCAATAAGATAGAAAATTGAGCAAGTTTATACCATAATTTTGTAGAAAAAAAGAATCTGCTCAGTTCCATATTTCATCCATGAAAAACCTGCAATACGGGCAGTTTCAAGGAATAAATAAAAAGGAAATGTAAACCATTGTAAAAGTCTTCTGTTGGATGTGCCTGATGCATGTATTATCGTCTTTGATTTCAGAAAACTTCATAAAGATAAAGTTAAATTCTCTATTAGTTTGTGTATTTACAATCTTACCTTGTCCTCTACATCACATCAAAGTGATAATTGTGCCAAATCAATTCCTTTTTCAATGATTTTAACTAGTACTTTAAAGAAAGGTGATTTTTATGGAGAAACAAGATGTACCTCCCATTCAGGATCATTTAAAAGCTAATATCAGTGAACTTGAAGCATCACAAGTAGCAATAACTTGCTTTTCCAGCATGGGGTTATCATTTGGTCTGGTATTCCAAAGAACACTCAGTGGTTTGTGCCTTTGCAGGTGGGACTCCAAGAAGTAGCGACAAAGTATTCTTGGTTTAACATGGAGACAGAAATTTGAAGAAAGAAATTTTATAATGTTTAAGTCATAACAAGTTCAGTTCTTATCTCCCTTCCCAAAGAAACACTGTAAGGAGTTTTGTTAAACACATCTTGCTTTTAAAATAATGAATAATAATTTACTTTGAACTTGAGTTGTGAGGCCTCTAAAAGTTGCTACTGACAGTGTGGGTCATTTGGTTTATAATTAATAACAATATTGTGATTCTTGCTTTAAATAGTATATGATCACTTTTTGAGCAGTCTTTTCAAAGTTATATTAAATATATTGTCTGTCGTTGAACCACTAATATGGTCACTGGCTTGGAGGATGCAGGAGGCAAGGTTTCTACATCTAGTAAAGTGAATGCTCACAGAAGGAAGTCTCCCCTTTTTTTTAAAAAAAAAAGGTACACTAAAAAGTAACCATAAAAGAATTAGTACTAGGAAACAGCCAAAGGAGAGATGAAATTTGCATGTTATAAACAAATGAGGAGTTCAGACTCAGGCCAGGGCTAGAACCTGAAGCACAAGGCCCAGATAGTGGGAAGACCCAAGACCTGTCCAGATCTTAAGATGACATTAAGGATAAGGTCGCCTATTTTCCTATATGAGTGTTAAATAAAGAGTTCAGAGCTGTAATCCTTGTATATGTGGAAGTCATGACTACTTTTTGGTTTTATTGAAAGTAGAGGTAAGTAGTCTCTGGTGTAGAGAAATAAGGGTTTAATGGCAAGAAACATTCATACTAAATTCAAATAGGTTATTTATAAGTGTTGGGTTTGCAGAAGATTTTGATCTGGAAGGTGGACCTCTAACATGGTACAGTGCGAGCATCTGCTGTAAAGTTAATCACTCGAGCTTCTGCTGGCATGTGAGCACAGTTCCTGCTCTCCACCTCCTCTGCTCCACTGCCCTCATTCTGTTCAGGCCAGTGTGCAGGTTACTTGTTTCTCGCTCCTTTGCCTATTGGATCCTTTCTGCTGGTGCTGGACAGAGAAGAGTTGCTACTATCTACTTAGTCCAAGTGCCAATGTAGAAACAGCCCACCTGCGTCATATAAGAGAGTTGAGACATGGCTCATTCATTCCTGCAGGGGCCGTGGGAGCTGGCTGATGGCTTTTCTGTTTCCCTAGAACTTCTCTGTGCAAGGCTGCCCTCCTCTGTGTTGTTCTCCTTAATCTTTTCCAACTTAAGTTCAGATACTTATATTACATAATAAAAAGTTCTAGGAGGAAAGAATAATTGTGACTTTGAAGACTGTTGATCAGTGTTATCACTGATGTCAGGCTTTTGTTACTGGTAATCCTAGCAAGCAGAGCTCTTAGGAGCTAGGAATATACTAGTGTCTAATAAATTTCTAAGGTGCAAATTGTGGTCTTTAGTAAGAACTTCAGCTGCAGGATAGTGGAATGTGCAGCTGTTCACCTGGAAGCACAGATATCCATACCTAACATTAATCTAGTGCAGACGACGAGAACTGGCTAGGACAGGTAGGGATGTTTAAATGTTTGGTAATGCTTCAGGGGCTGTAAGCCCAGCTAGGGTTTAGATATTTCTTAAACTTTCTTACTAAGGCATATATTAGTTCAGCTGCCAGCACAGTCCGGTTCTGGTGAGGGGCCTCTTCCTGACTTGCAGGTAGCCACTTTCTCTACCTTCACATGACAAAGTGGTTTATTTTCTTAAAAAGCCCACCGTGATGATCCTGTTTAACCTTAACTTCTCTAAGTTTTATTTTGCAACAAGGTCTCGCCTTGTTGCCCTTCAACCTGCAGCCCACCTACCTTAGCCTTCAAAGTAATGGATTACAGGCCTGCCACCACCACACCTGGCTCCCCGCCCCTTTTCTTTGGCCAAGCTGTGTATGGAACCTAGGGCCTTGCGCTAGGCAAGCACTCAGCCACTGAGCTACATTGCCCAACCAATCTAAATTACTTTCTAAAGACCCTGTCTCCAGACAGTGAAATGGAGCAATTTCTAAAAATCTGCTAGTTACTTGATAATATTTGGATTTCCTTCATTTTAGGTCCTACTAGCATTTCTCAATAGTTAGCTAAGATGATAAGTGAACTTGAACTGAGGGGCAGGGAAGAAGCAAGATTGAGGGCAAACTCATATCAGTGACCATGTATATGGTGTTTAATAGCCATTTTCAATCACTACAGCCCTATGAGATTATCTGCCTAATTTTAGAGATGAGACAAGCTAGGGGCATTTAAAGAGCCCATTTAGTGTTATATGTGAAATTTAGTGCTAAGCCTTCAGATTTGGACCCATATGGTCCAGAGTTACCCTCTTGAGTGCCACACAAGTTTTCTCCCATCAGAACTCTAAGGAGCTGAGGACTTGGGGTTATCAAGAGACTCTGAACAGTTGTGTGTTCCAAAGGCACTTTAGTAGAGGCCAGTCTAGTTCAACCTTCAGATTTCACAGATGAGAAAATCAGGCCTAGAGAAGCTGAATAACCTGTGATTGTGGATTAAAGCATGTTTTGTAAACTCAGAAGTGCTGCCCTGTTGCCATGTCTTTTGTTTCTAGTATGCTGACTCTTCTAGTGTTCTTAGTCTCTCTGCCATGTCTGCAGGAGAACATTGCACAACACTAGGGAGAGTGATCTTGGACACCTCAGAACACTGTCCCTTTCCTAAGTGAAGGTACCGAATCTTCAGCCATAAATTGATCAATAGCCAATTGTAGCTTCAGACGAGACCTTGTTTCTGGAACTCATATTGGCTTTAGAAAGATCAGAACAGAACTCAGAGGACCAGAGTATGTAATAATAGCTTTGCCTTCAAGTAGAAAAAATACCAGTCGGCCATTGGTTTATCATATGAATAGTTTCTGCTGCATTCTCCACTAATTGCTCATTTTTAAGTGGGGAAAATCCAGTTATCAGACTCATTGGCCTCAGGGTTGCTTTTCATCCTGAGAAATGATTAAAGACCCTAAAGAGCTTTTGTATAAAAAAAAAAAAGAAAGAAAGGAAATCTAGGGCTGGGGTTGTGGCTCAGCAGTAGAGCGCTTGCCTAGCACGTGTGAGGCCCTGGGTTCGATCCTCAGCACCACATAAAAATAAATAAATAAAGATATTGTGTCCAACTAAAAAACAAATATTAAAAAAAAGAAAGTCCAGTTATTAGATAAGGACACACAAAGAGCCCTTAGCTGTGTTCTGGCCTGGGCCTGCATGTCTACTTTAGCCACAAAATCCAGATTTTTGCTTCAGCTGCCTTAAGGCTCAGAGGTCCCTCTGGTTTGGGTCTTCAGAATCAGCATGGATTTAGTGCTCAGTGATGGATCTTTTGCTGATTTTTGCTTGTTCTTGCAAGAAAACAGTGATGCAGTTGTTGTGCATGTAGTACCCCAGAGATTATTAAATGTTCACCTTCAGCACGATAGCTGTTACTGACACTCAGTCCTGGTGCGCGGCCTGTTCAGGGAGCTGGGATATGTTCCTTCTTGAGTCACCCTCAGGATTCAGGTTTGTGGGTGAGAACAGCTGGTCATCCTGGCTCACTTGCCTGTCCTTTTTGTACATTCAGAAGTTACTTTAAAAGGAACCTCAGGGCTCTCTGGATTCTGCTGTAAGAGACCTGGATTTTCAGTCTGTGGAGGAAGAGATTACCCCAACAGGAAGCCAAGGTTGCCAGGATGGAGGACAGATGTTGGCAGCTGCTGTGGAGAACCACATGCAACAGACTATGATAAATCCTTTGTATGTGCTAAGTGCTTTATATGAAATAGTTCTTGCTCCTCAATTTCTTTGAACCAATATGCAGGGCAGCTTTTGAAAAGAATACTGGGTCCAGAGGCACATGATCAAAACCTTGCCCACCTCTCCAGCCTTCCTGGAAATGTCCCTTCTGCAGGATCACCTCTCAGAACCAGGCCTGTGCTCTTCCCCTACTCTACTGCTGTAGTCTCAGGGCCACTGAGCAACTTCCTGCCAGGTTCTGCCAGTGCCTGGGCAGGGAACAAATAGATCCAGGTGGCCTTGTTTTGCCATGTGAGGAGGACTCCAGGAGAAACTTCCCTGAAGAATGAAGCTGAAAGAAGGGAACAGTCCCAATTCCAGTTCTTTCCCTTTTGGATTCTGCTGTTGTACGTTGTGGAAGGACCTCCCATGAGTATTCCTGGCCTTGCCATCTGTGTCCTATTAATAACTCTTTGCTGAGATAGTTAATCCAACTCTACCACAGCCAGGCACTGCCGATATAGCCATCACGGGCCGTCTAGGGGAGAGAGACAAAATACTATATGAATTTACAGTTAAGAAAGGCCCAGGGGCTGGGATTGTGGCTCAGCGGTAGAGCACTCGCCTAGCACGGGCAGGACCCGGGTTCGATCCTCAGCACCACATAAAAATAAAAAGGCAATGTGTTGTGTCCATCTACACCTTAAAAAAATTAAAAAAAAAAAAAAAAAAAAAGGCCCAGAGATGAAACCTGATTATCAAAGGACCTTAGCAGCATGTAGGGCTACATGTGTGTGAGAATCCACGTTCTAGAACTATTGAGTAATGTTCCATATAAAAACATCTTTTATGAGTACATTGTTTTGCATCAGGAATGCTGTGCACACATCTCAATCAGAAGGTGGTTGAGTAATTGACACTTGTCCCAGTTGTCTGTCTTTGGATCTGTTTCAGCCACCTTGAGGTAACTACCACCTGGGGACAACATTCA